TTCCTTAAAAGAAAGAAATGCTGATTTAGAATTTGTTTCTTAGGAGCTTGGTTAAAAAAAAAACTTTTTTGCAATTGTTTGATAAAAGCCAATTGAAGAAGAAATATCAAGTCAAATGACATAGCTCATTTCCCGTTTCCTTAAAATACTGTACAAGCCAATATTGTAGTTTGAGGGAAGAGTCCTGGGTAAATGTTTAATTTCAGAATCTTTATGATTGAATTATCATGTTTGGAATAACATTGCCTGGCCAGAATGAGCTTCCAAATATTATTTTAACCATGAGTGAATCTATTTCTTGATGATAAGATTTGTTCTTCTTAAATGTTGATTGGTGTGAATTGTGTTTTAAAAATAGGGAAAATTGGAATTTTGAAAATTTAATACTCTTCAAACAAAATTAACTGATAACCTGTTCTAAAATCTGAGAAAACTGACATCAACAAATTGAAACAAGTAAACTCTAACAAAAGACGTAAGCTGTACTTTGTTCAAGAAAGAGCTATAATAAGTGGCCCTTATTTCTGTACTGGAGGAAGAGGGGCTGTTGTTGCAATGACATCCAAGAGTTTTTGCCCCATCTCTTTAGATCAGCATTAAACTATCGGCATAGCTCAAAAAATTTATGTATTCAATATATATAAAACTTTTATTGACTGAGCTACTTTGACAAATGAATCCATTCTGCTTGACGTGGGGTGAATGGATACTGTTCTGTTTTTCAGATAACTACAGATGCAGAAGGTTTTTTCCAACAGCTTTGAATTTCCAAGTTTGGCTGCAGACTTTCAATGTTGCAACACAGCTATGGGTGAGTCATCTTTGACCCATCAAGCCACTTACATTAATCTCACTTGCATTGAGATGAAGGTACCAGGAAAAATGGTTGTGATGACATAATGTATCTGTGCACCACTCCTTAAGGCCACTGTTGCATTTTGTATTTTCTGATGGTTGTGATTTCTTGGCTATTTTATACAGGTGGTGGGGAAAGATATCAGTGCAGAATATCTGGTGGGCTTTTCCTTTAAGTAACAATTTTATTTTTGGCCAAAGTCTTGGAACCGAGAAGGGTTGGATTGTGGGTGTGTGGCAGTGGAGAATAAAGAAGTTGGAAATGGAGCCAAAGTGGAGTCCTCTGTTTGTTAATGATACTTAATGTATCTCATTGGCACTGAACATAAGCAAATGCGGCTTATTAGTAGTTGAAAAAAAAATTTCAATATTTGAAAGGTCAAATAAATAAATAAAAAGGACATATAAAATGGCAGAACCTGCAACTGCTGCAATCAACTATTTGTAAGATTTTGACCTTCAATGTGCTAATTAAGTCAACATGATGTTCAGTCATGATGAGTACAAAGCTGCTTCACTGAATTTATACAGAAGGTTTCATATCACTCCTCAAAGACAGAACTTTTTCCACATATCTCATTCTGTAACCATATTTTACAGACAAGTTTATTTAAAACATCGAGGAAACATTTCCATGATTAACCATCATTTTAAAATATAGCAAGATGATCAAAGAAAACTTTCTCACTTTTCTGCATTGGTATTTGTGAAAGTCAGAAGGAACGCAGAATTAAGGAGAATCACATTTGATGATCACACTTAATCTGCATCAGTTCTAACACAAAATTCATTGATTTTTCTCTGACTAATCCCTGAATTAAAACTTTATGATCAATTGAACAAGTCAGTCAATGTAAAGAGGTTTGAACAGCAGTAATTCTACCCAGTGTTAAATCACATTATTACAAATTCAGCACAATCAGTAAACTAATCTAACTAAAATTCACCTGGTTTAAAATTCTAATTTTACATCAACCAAAACAAAATAAGTAATAAAGCAGGAGATTTGAGTTTGTGAAAATAAGATTCCATTGTATTGTTCATATATAAAATAAGGGATGTGTTAATCTTTTTCTCTAAAGACAATCACTGATGATTTTGAAAACAGTCCCCTCCTGAAAAGCAAAATATATTTCTTAGCCTCAATGTCACAACGCTTTCAGCCGATCACATTTCCTATCAGAATGACATAAGTACACCTTTCCATAACTCCCAAAAATCCAAACACCACTACTTTCTTACCTGATAGGAAAACAATGGACAAGAGAAAGGAGCAACTCATTGTTTTAATGTTCTACAGCTCCACGTTCCACACTCAAATCTTTACTTCAGTGTCCCTGCTTCTGGAATGCAGTCTCTGACCAGTCATTTCCTTCCCTTTAACACTTGTGAGGTTGAAATTACCACATACGAGGACGGAAGGAACACTTTACAGTTATAACGTCCTGAGATCTTACAAAATGTCTGGTTTGAAAGAAGAATCACCAGCCCCATGTTCATTGTATAACACTGTGGTGCTGCAAAAAAGTCTAATTATTTTCCTTCTTAGTGTTGTTTGAAAAATTGGATCAACTGTTTAATTGTTAGTGGCAGAATGACTATTGAGAACTATGTTAAAATCATACAACCTCCATAGTATCTGTTAAATCATTTGAATTTTGCATTCCATAAGATGTGCTTTGTGATGTGCTTAATTTACTTTTCATACTTTTGTAGAATCCCTACAGTGTAGAAGCAGGCCATTGGCCCATTGAGTCCACACTGACCCTCCAGACAGCATCCGTGCTGTGTCAGCTGTGGCTCAATTGTTGCATTTTCACACTAAGTCAGAAGGCTTTGGTAGTCTCTCTTCAGGATTTGAACAAAATAATCATGGCTGATATCCACATAGTACTGTGGGAGTGCTGCACTGTCAGAGATCCTGTCCATTAGATGGAGCAACAGAGGCCCTGTCTTCCTCTGAGATAGATATAAAAGATCCTGTTGTATTATTTCAAACAAGATCAGGAGAATTATCCTTGGTGTCTTTGACAATAGTTATCGTTTAATGAATGCAAGAAGAAAAGAAATTTTCTGCTATTGGTACATTGTTGCTATGGGATTCCTATTAGACGTAAATTGACTATTGTGTTTCCTCTGTTATGTCATTCACGTGACTCTATTTCAAGAAATAAGGATTTTATTGGCTGTATAATGCTTTAGGATAGCAGATGGGGTTGAAAGGCGTTGCAGAACTGCTCAACTTTTTTTTCCTTACTTGGTAGATGACATGTTTCTTTCTTCTTTAATTGCAATTCAAGTGATGCAAATATAACTTCATGAGATATAAAAATAGTAACAGGGAATAGCTGAAAGGGCTAATCTAACATTGCAGCAATATAGTAGCTTAATTTTCTGCCAGGATCGAGTGCTTGATTCAAATCTGATTGACAGTAACCTGCCTGAAATGAATTTGGCAAACAATACCCATAATTCTGGTCCACACCTTGAAACTAATAGTTTCAGGATGCATTGGTACTGAGTCACTGAAATTCATAGAATCATAGATTCCCTACAATGTGGAAACAGGTCATTTGGCCCATCAAGTCCACATTGACACTTTGAAGAGCATTCCACCCAGACCCACCCCTCTGCCCTATCCCTATAATTGCATTTCCCATGGTTAATCCACCTAACCTACACATCCCTGGACATTTTAGCATGGCCAATCCACCTAACCTGCACATCTTTGGATTCAGATTGCATGCAGTTTTTGATGCCACATAAACTATAAAATCAATTCTTATCTAGACATTATTTATTGTATATCAGTGGGTGAAGGAGCGAGAGACTGACATTTCCATGACATTATGTTTATTTTTATCCAAAATCAGAAGAGTGGATAAAGCACAGCCTGGCAAGCAAGATCAGTTTTCTTATTGGATTAGTTTGAAAACTGTAGAGCGACGTCCCTATCTTAATGAAAGCAAAGTATGATAGAAGTTGAGATCTGAAATTAAAACAGAAAATTGCTGGAGAATATCAGTAGGTTTGGCAGCATCTGTGGACAGAGAAACAAAGTTTACCTTTTGAGTCCAAAATGACTCTGTTTCTGAACAGATGCTGCCAGACCTGCTGATTGTCTCCTGTCTTCATTGAAGGTATTCACTCTCTCCTTACAAAGATTCTACTCTCTCTGCATTGGTGAAGAGCATTGTTTGCTCAGGGGTCTATTGGAACTCCAACATCAGGAGCTATCCCACCTGCTGTGCTTAAGTGATGAGTAAGCGCAGTTCCTGGCTATTAAGTGTTCTAACAAAGACTGCATTATGGATTGTTATGGTGCTGTGGTAGTGCCCCTACCTTGGTTCAAGGCCTGCATACAAATCCCACCTGCTCCAGAGGTGTGTCATAACATCTCTGGATGGATTGGTTTGGGCAGAAATTGTGGAGAGTGTAACATTGAATTTCTTTGTGTGATCTGATAATTGTGTGACCTTGACGGCTGTGGTGATATACAATACTGTGAATGTGTTGCAGTGGAAGGTAATGAAGAATGGGAATGCATTGCAAAAATTACCAGTAGTAATCAGATTCTAGTTTATTGAAAGGTTCAGCATAATTGGTAGGAGCTAGAAACTGCAACATCAGTAGTTATGGAGCACAAATAAGAAAGCAGTTCAAACTACGAAACGAATTCTTGACCGAGAGCCTCTCTTACCTGGAGAGTGCATCACACGCATATATTTTGGGCAAGCAGGCAAGTTTTCCTTACCATTAAATGGAATGAATGGGGAATCATGCCTGAATTCCCTGGGAGTCTCCCCCCGCCACCCACTTATTGAGGCTCTCTGAAAAAAGCACAAACTCAGAAACTCAGAGTGAAGGCGATAGCCTAGCAGTATTATTGCTAGACACTGAATCCAGAGATCCAGGTAGTATTCTGGGGACCCGGGTTCGATCCCCACCACAGGAATTTGAATTCATTAATAATATGGAGTTAACAGTCTAACAATAATCATGAATCCATTGTCGACTGTCAGAAAAAAAACCCATCTGGTTCACTAGTGTCCTTTAGGAAAGGAAACTACCCATTCTTACTTGGTCTGACCAACATGTGAATCCAGAACCACAGCAATGTGGTTGGCTCTGAACTGCCCTCTGGGCAATTAGGGATGGGCAATTAATTCTGATTTAGCCAGTGATGCCCATATCTTGTGAATGAATAAAGAAAAGTTGCCAGGTAAATATTTCATGGAATTCCATGGTGGTTCTCCCAAGTTTCTGGCATAACTTTGACAGGACAATGGGACAAAAACTCAAGAGAACCCCAGAAAAATTTCCAGTCCATAATATACATTGCAGGTACAAATGTATTAAATGGAAAATAGGCATTTCAGTTATCAACACTATGGGATGATGATTTGATGCTTTGGCAAACATCTATTGTTAATCTAAAAGTCTTTATTGTGTACAAGCTAATAGTAGTTATTGTGGCATCCATTTAAATTTATAAGATGAAAATTGCAGTTAGTGTGAGTGCTCACACATCCATCCATTAATGGAAATTGAAACAGGGAGTTGTGGTTCAGGCACTGATGCAGATATGCATCACTCAAATGAATCACTGCCACTGAATGGCTGCAAAGAGAAATTCCCCACAAATTGAGTAATTCCAAATATTTTTCAACATCCCATCTTCTGGCTTCATTGGAACTATTCAGCTCTCCTCTAACACTGAGGGTTAGTCTAACCTTGTTGATGGTTTCAAATTATACGGCAAGGGACCTATTTGCAGTGTTTACCCTACATTGGGTCATCTTGACCCTTAAAGAGAATGAATGACTTTGGAAGAACATTGCAGTGTTATTGCATAATATTTCTCAGTCAGTCCATGCTCTACACATGGCGAATGATGGAGATGGTTTTGCTGTTTGATTGACTGGATATTCCAAGGTGCACTGAAGATGCTGACGACACGGTCAGCTAAAGTCACAGATCCTATTGTCCTGGAAACAAAAACAAAGGATATTTCAAATGTCGTTGTATAGAAAGCAAGCATTGTGTTCAAAGTCATTTTGTTCTTAGCAAAGATTAAGTTATAACACAATCAATTAAAAGGAGAAAATACTGAATTAAGAAAATATATTTAGTGAAAAGATCAATTTTGAACGCAACACAATTCAAACTTAATGCTGACATAACAGGGTGTAGAGCTGGATGAACACAGCAGGCCAAGCAGCATCAGAGGAGCAGGAAAGCTAAAGTTTCAGGTCTGCTCCCTTCTTCAGAAGTGGGGGAGGGGAAGGGGATTCTGAAATAAATAGAGAGAGAGGGGGAGGCGGATGGAAGATGGATAAAGGAGCAGATAGGTGGAGAGGAGACAGACAGGTCAAGGAGACGGGGATGGAGCCAGTAAAGGTGAGTGTAGGTGGAGAGTTAGGGTGGGGATTGGTCAGTCCAGGGAAGACGGACAGGTCAAGGGGGCGGGGATGAGGCTGGTAGGTAGGACGTGGGAGTGGGGTTGAGGTAGGAGGAGTGGATAGGTGGGAGGAAGGACGGACAGGTTAGGGAGGCGGGAATGAGCTGAGCTGGTTTTGGGATGCGGTCGGGGGGTGGGGAGATTTTGCAGCTTGTGAAGTCCACATTGATACCAGTGGGCTGCAGGGTTCCCAAGCGAAATATGAGGTGCTATTCCTGCAACCTTCAGGTGGCATCATTGTGGCACTGAAGGAGGCTCAGAATGGACATGTCATCCAAGGAGTAGGGGGGGGAGTTGAAGTGATTCGCGACTGGGAGGTGCAGTCGTTTGTCACAAACCGAGCGTAGGTGTTCCACAAAGCGGTCTCCAAGCCGACACTTGGTTTCCCCGAAGTAGAGGGGACCACATCGGGAACAGCGGATACAGTATACCACATTAGCAGATGTGCAGGTGAACGTCTGTTTGATGTGGAAGGTTTTCTTGGGGCCTGGGATGGGGGTGAGGGGGGAGGTGTAGGGGCAGGTGTAGCACTTCCTGCGGTTGCAGGGAAAAGTGGTGGGGGTGGTGGGGCTGGTGGGGAGTGTGGAGCGGACAAGGGTGTCCTGGAGAGAGTGGGCCCTCCTTAAACTTAATGCTGTTTCTTTCCCTGAGCTATAGGAATCAACATGCTGCAGAATGCAAATCTTTTTCTTCTCTTAAAATCATATTAATCAATCTTATTTAGGTTCTGCTCTTCTGAGATAAAATAAAGCATTGTAGGTGCTGGAATTCTGAAACAACCAAAAACAGAAATTGCGGGTGAAACTCAGCAGATGTGAACAGCATATGTGGAGACTGAAACAGGGTTAACATTTCAGTCCATTGTCCTTCCTTCCTGAAATTTCTGTTTTCATTTGTTTCTGTTCTTTTGATACTGGGTCAAAGGCAGATTATAGAAATAAAACTTTCCTTTTAGTGTCCAATGCTGACAGTGGGTGAGCAAGATTGTTGGCTGAATGGCCTTCCACTTCAGTCCATCACTTTGATATGTTAAGGCTATTGAGTACTTTGCCAGTGGCATTGGATAAAAGCCTGCAATAGCGAGGTGGTTGGAGGTCACTGAGGAAGTCAGAAGAAGGGAAACACTCTTTCTGGAAGTGGTTTAATGACCTATTGAGGACAGGGAGGTAGGACATCCTGATCTGCAGCTTGTCCTGACACTGTTGGCACTGTGCTGAAGTTTCAAAAATAAACAATAAAATATAGAAAAGAATCCTACAACCCAACCCTTCAAGCCTCTATAACTCTCACATTCTTCACACTCTGTCCATGCTGACTTCATGCCCCCCTTCTACTAACACAGTACAAACACATTCTCAGAATGGGGCTTTGAATAAAAAGCAATCACTTGGGCAAGGAAATAGTTGTAAGATTTCAGCATTTTAAGAATTTCTAATCTATCAGATGTTCAGTCCCTCAAATTTCATTGTCGTCACAGCCTGTTTTCCTTGGTAATTTTCTCAAAACTCTTTTCTAAATGCAGTGACATTCAGAAATCACAAAGTGATAGTGAGGTCTTTGTGTATTAGTGTTATCACCCTGCGGATGTTGACTTGCTCGCTCAGCTGGTAAGTTTGTTGGCAGATGTTTTGTTACCATACCAGGTGACATCATCAGTGCGCCTCCAGTAAAGCGTTTCTGTTCTGTCCTGCTTGTTATTTATGTGTCTCCATTTGCTGGCGTGGGTGGCATCATTTCTGGGTTTGTTTCTTTATGGTTGGTGTATGGGGTCCAGCTCTACATGTTTGTTAATGGAGTTCTGGTTTGAGTGCCAGGCCTCCAGGAATTCTTGCGCTTGTCTTTGGATGGCTTGTCCCAGGATGGCTACAAAGACCCAGTTGAATTGGCGTCCCTCTTTGTCCATGTGTATTGAAATGAGCGATAGTTGGCCATGTCTCTTGGTGGCTAGTTGGCGTTCGTGAATCCTAATCTCTCGTTTCCTTCTGGTCTGCCCTATGTAATGTTTTTGGCAGTCTTTGCATGGTATCTTGTAAATAACGTTGGTTCTGTTAGCTGTCGTTGTTAGATTCGTTATTCTTGTCAATAGCTGTTGAAGTGTAGCTGTTAGTTTGTGGGCTACCATGATTCCTCAGGGCGGAGTAATCTGGTGGTCATCTCAGATACGTCCTTAATGTATAGTAGAGTGACTGTTGTCTCTGGATGTGTTGTGGCTTCCTGTTGTGGTCTGTTTTGTAGGTATGGACAGACGATGCTTTTTGGGTAACCGTTGTTTCTAAAGGCGCTGTAAGGGTGTTCTTCCTCAGCTTTGCATAGCATCGGGTTGCTGCAGTGTGTTGCAGCTCGCTTGAACAGTGTTTTGATGCAGCTTCGTTTGTGGGTATTGGGATGATAGCTATTGTAGTTGAGCACCCGATCCATATGGGTGACCTTCCTGTGTATGCTGGTTGGGAGATCACTGTTGGCCTTACATTTGAGCATCATGTTCAGGAAGGGAAGACTGTTGTTGTTCTCCTCTTCCCGGGTGAAATTTATGCCAGTGAGGATGTTGTTTATGAGTAGATTAGTTTCTTCCAGTTTAGAGCGTTTGATAATGACAAAGGTGTCATCCATATAATGGATCCATTGTTTTGTTTGGATGGTGGGAAGGGCTGTCCATTCCAGTCTTTGAACTACGCTTACGCTATTAATCCTGATACCAGTGATCCCATGGGTGTTCCGATGATTTGTCTGTATACCTTGTCGTTGAAGGTGAAGTGGTTTGTGAGGCAGAGATCCAGTAGTTTGAGGGTGCCATCCTTGCTGATGGTGTTGGTGTTGCCAGGTGTCTATATCCCTGGACTGTCTCATAGCGCGGTTAGTGTTTTCTTGGCAAGGCGGGGTATTTATGGGGGCAAATAATGCAGTCACGTAGAACGAGACCTTATCACCCTCCCTATCCCCAGGGGATCTTCTGTGCAGAGGAAATTGAGCTGAAGTCAATGCAGAAGTTTGTGGGCTGCCTTCAGTTTCATAATACAACCATCAATTTTAGACATTTTAACCAGCTGCCCGCACACTTTATATTAAAGTAAGAACTCCCCCTTGTATTTTGGGACATCTTGAAATGTATGTTCTGGAATTATCATTCTGCTTTTGTAAAATATTCATCTATTTAATATTCTGAATATAAAGTACTTTACATTTAGGAGGTTAATAAAATAAATGTATCTATGATTAAGCTTTGAAAACTGGGTCAATAAAATGTCTTTTCTGATAATATTCTCTGAGTAAGATGAATGCTGATTTCAGAAATATGATGTTTGCATGGTTACATTATCTCTTTTAAAATAATTATAATGAGTATAGAGAATTCTTCCAATTATTTTTTATTTAACCTAAGATACACAGAAATTATTAAAGTCAACAACTTACCAATATTTCATCAACTATATTTTCAATTTGATTAAAATGGTCCAGATGAGAAGAATGGCAAAGAATACCCAACGTAAAATGCTCCATATAAAATAGTACAGAGAATTTTGCCTAGATAGATAGAAGACAAAATTATTTCTATCAAATAGGTTTCAGAACGCACAGAGTTAGCTTGGATCTATGATTTGTTTGGCTACACACGCGGTGGATAATCACAAACATTTCTGCTTCTGTTCTCCTGGATCACCTGGCATTTTTACACACTTTGACCCATAGCATTCTGTCCATTAAAGTGAGCAACAGCAAGTATCAAGTTGGAAAGACACGATTCCCCGAGTTGCATGTGCCAAGAGAGATACAGTAGCAAATTTTGTTTCTTTTTCAATAATCATCATAATGTAATGACAGCATTGCACATGGATCAGCTTCTACAAACTACCTTTGCCTTGAAAAAACACTTGATACAATTGAAAGTGAGATAGAGATTGAGAAAACATGTCCCTCAGCAGTAACAGAAATAGTAGCTATGTTTTTGATATAGATGCATAAACTGGGATGAAAATAACTGTTTTCTCCATAGATGCAGTTATATACAGGATTTTGGTTTTTGTTGTTAACAAAATGTATTTTTATGTTTTGACTTAAGTACTCAACCAACACTAAAAATGAATGATGTTAGTTGGTGGGTTTTAAATGAAGTACATATTTGTCATGAAAATACAGTGGGAGTAATTTTAACCTTAGTCCGTGGGCAAGAAACACACGGGATGGGCTGGAACACTGCCATACATACCTGGCCAGTATTAGGATTAGTGTTGTGAGTGGGGCAGTGGAGGTTATGAAACTAATATTGGACTTGAACCTGTCAGTTTTCTGACAAATGTAATGGATTAACATTTCATCGAGACTAGATAGCCTCTGACTGCTGGGCATGTCAAATTTTCATTGCTCCCCATCATTCTAAGTAATGAATGGCTGATGTGAAATTGCAATCCATGGTAAGCTGATCTCCCACTGTCTTGGCTGCTTGTAACATTTCAGTTGGGATTTTTCTCAACTACCAGCAAAGCTATGACAAGACATTGGGAATCTCAAGAGAATCTATATGCAACTCTTCAACTAAAACTAATCAGAGCTCCATTATATGCTCTGGAAATTTTTGCAAATGCCCTGATTTGATGATTTTGCACAGCTAAAGGATAGTGAAATACAAATATGTAATTGATACATCTGCAACTGCAAACTGATCTATTGGGCATCTGAGTGCATGAAGTGACCAACTAATATTGCTGATCCTCCCAACTGCAAAGATGTGAAGCTGGCTGCTAGTTCAATATTGCAAATATGTCTGTATAAAATACAATCCCTTCCATAGCACTGACATCCCATTTTTGTGCAGTCAGTGACCTACACATTCCCAGATAATTGACTGAAGATCTCCTATATTACAAAAGGACTTTCAAATTAAAGCAAAGTACTATGGATGCTGGAAATCGGAAATAAAACTTTGTGGCAGTTCTGAAGAGGAGTCATATTGAACTCAAATTGTTAGCTCTTTTTCTGTCTCCACAGATGCTGCCAGACCTGCTGAGTTTCTACAGCATTTTCTGTTTTTATTGCAATGGGTCCATGTTCATTTTTACAGTTAGAAACAGAGAGAAGTGGGACAGAAGGAGTCCATTCAGCCCAGAATCCTTTTGCCAGCCAAGAAAGAATATTCCAGCCTAATCCCAAATTCCTTCTGCTGGTTTGTTGCCCTGTGGATTGCAGTACCTCAAGTGCACACTCAAGTATTTTTAAATGCAATGATCCAGATCTATCTGGTCAGTGTTATTGTTGAGTAGATTGGCACTGCCCATTAAGTCTCTGTGGCCTGACCCTTTTATAGTTTTATCGGCCATGTCTTCAAAACCCGGTTGTAACTCCAAAGGGATATTGAAGTCTCTAAAGTGAAGACTGTAATGTACAAGAAGAGATGGAATCAGGAGCACATAGCCCTTTCATTGTACAATAGTAGCTGACCTGTTCAGTTAAACTTTTAAAAGTCAAAATCTTTCTGTAAGTGAATGAGTTTATGAATGGTTGAGTGATTGAATGGATTTGTGAGTGTGTTTGGTTTGTGAGACATGTGAGTGGGTAATGGGTTGAGGTGGAAGTTGAGGGGGTTCAGGGGTTTGGGGGGCTAGTCAGGTCTGAGGGTAGTTGGGTTGTTGGGTAGGGGGTGAGGTTGTAGTCATTCGGTGGGGCTGATTATGTGGGCCCAGTTGTGATGCTCAGATGGGTGTCACTGACTGCTGATCAGTTTGGCCAGGTATTCAACCAAAATAAAATGGCAGACTTCATATATCCAGCCCAAGTTTCCACCTTGAGCTCAGCATCAGAAATGCTCAGCGAGGGTCCCAGGAGGTGAAAATCTGTCCATCACCAATGTAAACTTCCTGAACAATTTGTGCACGAGTTACCAATAGAGTCCTGACATGCATCTCCCAAACCATCTCCCATCTCTGACTATTCGGACACCAGAGAGGGTTTTGGCTCAACTAGCCCTTTGAGCAGTGACTTTCAGATCCTTACCATGCATTCCCCATCTCCCCTTTCAACCTTCTACCAAATACTGTACCCTATGCCGCTTGCTTATCAATCACTCTGCTAAAGAAAGTTTGATTGCCCAATTGACTCTGCTCAAGACCCACATAATTTTGTGTGCCTCAATTAAATCATCCTTCAGCCTTCTTGGTTCCAAAGCAATGACCATAGCCTCCCCATCATTCTCATAGCGAATATATTTTAAGGTTTTGGAGTATATTATTTTATATTTTAGCCATGAATATGTTTTAGCCATGGTACAATGCTCACAAATTCCCAATGTCTCCTGTCTCTTGCGTGATCACAAAGCTGCAGATAAATGTTCAGAAAGGACCAGGTTTAGGTAAGTATGACATTTACCTCAGAATTTCCTCCTCTGAAGGCGAACCTGCAAGAGGTATCTTGGTACCTGTTAAAAATGGTGTAATTTTTTTTATTAGATCATATTGCCATAAAATTGTTTTACATGTCAGTCTCAGCTATCAGAGATTTGGAACTAAAAAAGAAGGAAACTTTGATGGGATAGAGTTAATATGAATATGAGGTATTTTATGTTGAATTTAATGCTGACGTATTTAAAAGTGAGAGGATACATCAAATCCAACATCTGCTGCCCACCTACGCTGCCCTGCCCCCTGCATCTTTATGAAGCCTGCTGACCCCACAGCTCGGCCAATTGATGCCCATGAATTGTGGGCAACTCATGGCCCACAGGGAACTGGTGGCCAAGTGGTATTATTGCTAGACTATTGGACTATTTAGACTATTAGACTATTAACCCAGAGACCCAAATAATGTTACGGAGACCAGGGTAAAAATCCTGCTCCGGCAGATGGTGGAATTTGAATTCAATTAAAGAAATTGGGAATTAAGAGTTGATGACCATTAAAACATTGCTGATTTTTGGGAAGAAACCCATCTCACTCATTAATGTCCTTTAGGGAAGGATACTGCCACCTTTACCTAGCCTAGCTGACATGAGACTCCAGACCCACAGCAATGTGGTTGACTCAGGGCAATTAGGGACCAATAAATGCTGGCCCAGCCAGTGACGTTCTCATCCCATGAATGAATATAAAACAAACCTTAAGGATGCCATCCTGCAGCCGCTGGGATTCGACCTGTACTGGGGTAGACGCTTGCCAAATGCTCAGTCTGACATATTTTCTTGCTCCAGCAGCTGCAATGTGGAGAGGGTGGCCTCAATGTTGGGTGCGCTGTGCCTATCAGAGGGCTCCTTCCCTGAGTCTGATCCCAATCCCTGCTCCAATTTCACCCCTCAACCCTAGCATAATCTTTCAAACTCCCTTACCCAACACCTACTCCTATGCCTACTGGCTTGGTCCAAGTGAGAAACCATGAACTGAAGATGGGACTTCCATGTCTCAGAGACAGGAAGCTCTCCCTCAGGGAAATTCAGCCAATCAGAAGCTAGGAACACTGATTCAGCCAATTAATGGCCAATCAGCTACTGGATTGCTGTGAGACAGCAGTTTTTGTGCTGCGTGGGATTCCCATCCTGCCCTGGGTGGGAATAGAGACGCCCCATTACACTTAGCTCAATGTTATCTTTCATTATTCTGCTGGCTAACCAGGATTCCAACTGCCCACTGAAAACTGGAAATTATTCACATCCTACCTTCAGCAACATTAAGTTCCACAGGACTTAACAGGTCCCACAAAAACCTTGAAATTCCACACCAGTACAACCCTTGGTCATTTTTTGTTAAGCGTTCCATCGTGACAAAAAATTCTCCTGCGTCATCGTCGACTGCTATGATTATTCTTCCTCCAGAATTTGTCTTCCTCGGGCCTTGGGTTTCGATTAGAATTACACAGTCTTCCCTGTTGTCACCTTTGCACCAGTACTTTGGAGAAGTTCTGTAATATTTGTTGTATTTACACCTGATAGTAACTGATTGTCCCACTGATCCATTTATGACAGCTGGTCCAGTTAATATGGCACCTGAAACTGTTTAGTGTGAAATTATGACACAATATGCTTTAGAACTCAATAAAGTAAATCACTGCAACAGATGAACAGTGTGGTGTGTATTTTGAATACTTAACATTTAAAAATGTGCATTGAGACTCTTCAATCTAATCTCCTACTTTGATCATTCTAGTGGTGTACAGGCACCCGACTGACTTCTGTGCTCAATGCATCTTGCAAATCTGTGCAGAAAGCATTCTGTATTAGAACCTTGCTGCCCTTAGAACTATCAGATCCAGGGGCTTTATTACAGGCTGGGATTGTACAGATAGGCACATTGT